GTTTGGATCAGTCTGTGTGTTTGTGTGTGTATGGACTCAACAGTCTGTGTCGTGTTTGCACTCAACAGTCTGTGTGTGTGTCTGTGTGTTTGGACTCAAGCAGTCTGTGTGTGTGTGTCTGTGTGTGTGTTTAGACTCAGCTGTCTGTATGTGTGTGTTTAGACTCAGCAGTCTGTATGTGTGTGTTTGGACTCAGCAGTCTGTGTGTGTGTGTTTGGACTTAGCAGTCTCTGTGTGTGTTTGGACTCAGCAGTCTGTGTGTGTGTGTGTGTGTGTGTTTGGACTTAGCAGTCTCTGTGTGTGTTTGGAATCAGCAGTCTGTGTGTGTGTTTGGAATCAGCAGTCTGTGTGTGTGTATGGACTCAGCAGTCTGTGTGTGTGTGCATGTGTGGACTCAGCAGTCTGTGTGTGTGTATGGACTCTGCAGTCTGTGTGTGTGTGTGTGGACTCAGCAGTCTGTGTATGGAGTCAGCAGTCTGTGTATGTGTCTGTGTGCTGGACTCAGCGGTCTGTGTGTGTGTCGGTGTGTGTGGACTCAGCAGTCTGTGTGTGTGCACATGGACTCAGCAGTCTGTGTGTGTCTGTGTGTGTGCTATGGACTCAGAGTCTGTGTGTGTGTGTATGGACTCAACTTGGTCTGTGTGTGTGTCTGTGTGTGTGTTTGCACTCAGCAGTGTGTGTGTGTGTGTGTGTGTTTGGACTCCTTGGTCTGTGTGTGTGTGTGTATGGACTCAGCAGTCTTTGTGTGTGTGTGGACTCAGCAGTCTGTGTGTGTGTGTGTCTGTGTGTGTGTTTGGACTCAGCTAGTGAGGAAGCTTGTGTGTGTGTTTGGACTCAGCAGTCTGTGTGTGTGTTTGGACTCAGCCTTCTGTGTGTGTGTGTATGGACTCAGCAGTCTGTGTGTGTGTCTGTGTGTGTTTGGCCTCAGCAGTGTGTGTGTGTGTGTGTGTGTGTGTGTGTTTGGACTCAGCTTGGTGTGTGTGTGTGTGTGTGTTTGGACTCAGCTCAGTGTGTGTTTGGACTCAGCTTGTGTGTGTTTGGACTCAGCTTGATCTGTATGTGTATGGACTCAGCAGTCTCTGTGTGTGTGTGTGTATGGACTCAGCAGTCTTTTTGTGTGTGTGGACTCAGCAGTCTGTGTGTGTGTCTGTGTGTGTGTGTGTGTGTGGAATCAGCGGTCTTTTTGTGTGTGTGGACTCAGCAGTCTGTGTGTATGTGTGTGTGTTTGTACTCATCTAGTGAGGAAACTTGTGTGTGTGTGTGTGTGTGTTTGGACTCAGCCCTCTGTGTGTGTGTATATGGACTCAGCAATCTGTGTGTGTATGGACTCAACAGTCTGTGTGTGTGTTTGGACTCTGCAGTCTGTGTGTCTGTGTGTGTGTTTGGCCTCAGCAGTCTGTGTGTGTGTTTGGCCTCAGCAGTCTGTGTGTGTTTGGACTCAGCAGTCTGTGTGTCTGTGTGTGTTTGGACTCAGCTGTCTGTGTGTGTGTCTGTGTGTGTGTGGACTCAGCAGTCTGTGTGTGTATGGACTAAGCAGTCTGTGTGTGTGTGTGTGGACTCAGCAGTGTGTGTGTGTGTTTGGACTCAGCAGTGTGTGTGTGTGTGGACTCAGCAGTCTCTGTGTCTGTGTGTGTGTTTGGACTCAGCAGTCTGTGTGGGTGTGTTTGTGTGTATGGACTCAGCAGTCTGTGTGTCTGTGTGTGTGTATGGACTCAGCAGTCTGTGTGTGTGTTTGGACTCACCAGAAAGTGTGTCTGTGTGTGTTTGTACTCAGCTAGTGAGGAACCTTGTGTGTGTGTTTGGACTCGGCCCTCTGTGTGTGTATGGACTCAGCAATCTGTGTGTGTGTTTGTGTGTATGGACTCAGCAATCTGTGTGTGTATGGACTCAACAGTCTGTGTGTCTGTGTGTGTGTTTGGACTCTGCAGTCTGTGTGTCTGTGTTTGTGTTTGGACTCAGCAGACTGTGTGTGTTTGGACTCAGCAGACTGTGTGTGTTTGGACTCAGCAGACTGTGTGTGTTTGGACTCTGCAGTCTGTGTGTGTTTGGACTCTGCAGTCTGTGTGTGTGTGGTCTCAGCAGTCTGTGTGTGTGTGGACTCAGCAGTCTGTGTGTGTGTATGGACTCAGCAGTCTGTGTGTGTGTATGGACTCAGCAGTCTGTGTGTGTATGGATTCAGCAGTCTGTGTGTGTGTATGAACTCAGCAGTCTGTGTGTGTATGAACTCAGCAGTCTGTGTGTGTATGAACTCAGCAGTCTGTGTGTGTATGGACTCAGCAGTCTCTGTGTGTGTGTGTCTGTGTGTTTGTTTGGACTCAGCAGTGTGTGTGTATGGACTCTGCAGTGTGTGTGTATGGACTCTGCAGTGTGTGTGTGTATGGACTCTGCAGTGTGTGTGTGTGTGGACTCTGCAGGTGTGTGTGTATGGACTCTGCAGTGTGTGTGTGTATGGACTCTGCAGTGTGTGTATGGACTCTGCAGTGTGTGTGTGTATGGACTCTGCAGTGTGTGTATGGACTCTGCAGTGTGTGTATGGACTCTGCAGTGTGTGTATGGACTCTGCAGTGTGTGTGTATGGACTCTGCAGTGTGTGTGTATGGACTCTGCAGTGTGTGTGTATGGACTCTGCAGTGTGTGTGTATGGACTCGGCTGTGTGTGTGGACTCAGCAGTCTGTGTTTGTATCTGTGTGTGTGTGTGGACTCAACAGTCTGTGTGTGTGCGTGTGTGCACTTATTAGTCTGTGTGTCTGTGTGTCCTCCTACTTTTGTCCCTGGCCCTCCAGGTGCTACCCCCGGGGGCCTCATTTGCCAAGGGAGGGCTGCCTGGGCTGTGGAGGCAGCCCTCCAGAAGAGGATCGCGGCGGAGGTAAGTCCACCAGATCTCCAGGGGCTGCAAGCCGTTACAGCGTTCTATGCCGCCGTAACGGCTTTAAAGCCCTTTTAATGCGGGACGTCCTAGAACGCCGTTAACGGGTTAAACCATGAGCAAAAAAGTAAATCAACGGTTCGACCGTCAAGCGGTCTTTATCAAGATCTTGATAAAGACCGCTTGACGGTCAAACGTTGATTTACTTTTTTGCTCATGGTTTAATATAAGATTTGATTCAAATCCAGTGAGTGCTCTCATTTTGTTCTGGTTACATATCTGAGCACTGAGAACGCACCCTGGTCAATTTTCTGAATTTGTTTGAAGTCATATGGGAAGAGTGCCAGAACTCTGGATTGTGTGTGTGTGTATATGTATGTATGTGTGTGTATATATGTGTGTGTGTGTGTGTGTGTGTGTGTGTATATATATGTATATATATATATGTATGTATATATATATGTAAATAACTGTGTCAAAGGTTGCACTCACGGATTCATTAAAAAATAACTTTTATTAAATATTCTTAAAAAATCCACGTTTCAGTCCTATTCAAGGACTTTCATCAGGAGTATGTAAACAATGTATAACAAAACAATTCAACCATATATAGGATGCAATAAATTACAAATAAACTCACCACAGGTGCCGTGCTAGGACCGGCGTCCAAGCCGGAAGTGTGCGCAGGTGCCGAAAGACTCCGCCCCCCAGCGTGACGTACAACGCCGCCGTTACTATAGTGACGCGGCAAAAGTGCTCCATACTAAGACCGGCATCCAAGCCGGAAGAGTGCGCTTGTGCGGAAAGTCTCCGCCCCCCAACGTGACATCATGCATATAACGCTGTCGTTACTATGGTAACGTGGCTAAATATAAACAAAAGAAATTGCGATCAAAATATATGTAAGCACACATATCAGAACAGTGATCTAAATGTAAAGATCTAACCATAAGTGACATATTGATAAACCAGATACTGGCGTAGGACAAGTATAAATGTGAACTATATATATTTTAATAAAGTGCTAATAGGTCATATTAAGTGCTGGTGCAAGATCAAATCATCACTTAAAGTGCTATACACGTGCAAAATTTAAAGTGCCACAGTGCTAGTGTAAATATAATGTGACCCAATACAGTTTATATAAATATTCAAGTAACCCCAATGACTAGATACATATGATAATAAACTGATCAACCAAAAAATTATTCAAAGCTTTTTTCTTAACTTTTTTTCTTTTTGCTCCTCTGTCACTCTACAAATATATATCTTCAAAAAATTATTTTAATGTCACTATTGTATTCTGCATCAAAGTATATTAGTCAAATTTCCAAAAAATAGCTATTGATGATTACTAGTATGTAATCAATTATATAATAAGAGGACGGTAGCAAAGTCATCATAAAAAATGCATATAGAGAAACATAGAATACACATAAATATAAAATCACACATTAAAAGAACATTAAGGGGCATTCAGGCCAAAAAAGAATGTAAAGACAAGGCTTCATTTAATCCTTTTGGTGACACAGTATCTAGCTCATGAATCCAATAAGCTTCTTTATTGAGTAGCATTCTCCCCCTATCACCCCCTCTTCTAGGGACAGGGATATGGTCAATGGCCATAAATTTCAATGTAGCCAATGGATGCTTTAGTTCAAAAAAATGTTTTGCAACCGGTTTGTCTGAGCAACCATCTCGATATGCCAATCTGTGTCCCCTAATTCGTTCGCAGATAGCCATCTCCGTTTTCCCAATATAACACAAGCCACAGGGACAAGATAATTGATATATCACATGTGTCGTCTTGCAAGTAATGGTATATCGAATAGTATATTTTCTATTATTATGAGGATGAAAAAAAGTTCTTGCAGGTGTCATATGGCTGCAAGTCACACAGCCAAGACAACGGACAGATCCTCTTACTTGTTCCTTCGCTGTGTTCATATAGCTTTGGGAGGGGTCCGTACGTACTAACATATCTTTTAGGTTTCTATTTCTCTTAAAACAGATTAATGGCCTTTCTTTAAACACTTTCGGGAGTGTGTCATCACTTGACACAATTCTCCAATTTTTCCTGATGACTGATGCCACTTGGGGAGTAGATTGATTGTATACCATAGGAAAGACCAGATTAGGAGGTTTCTTCTTTGTTTCGGTAGCGTGTGCACTCAGTGAAATGAAAAATAAATTTCTTCAAAGAGAATATGATGGATATATGTTGGAAGCGGCGCTACAAGAAGCACTGAGTGCACGCGCTACCGAAACAAAGAAGAAACCTCCTAATCTGGTCTTTCCTATGGTATACAATCAATCTACTCCCCAAGTGGCATCAGTCATCAGGAAAAATTGGAGAATTGTGTCAAGTGATGACACACTCCCGAAAGTGTTTAAAGAAAGGCCATTAATCTGTTTTAAGAGAAATAGAAACCTAAAAGATATGTTAGTACGTACGGACCCCTCCCAAAGCTATATGAACACAGCGAAGGAACAAGTAAGAGGATCTGTCCGTTGTCTTGGCTGTGTGACTTGCAGCCATATGACACCTGCAAGAACTTTTTTTTCATCCTCATAATAATAGAAAATATACTATTCGATATACCATTACTTGCAAGACGACACATGTGATATATCAATTATCTTGTCCCTGTGGCTTGTGTTATATTGGGAAAACGGAGATGGCTATCTGCGAACGAATTAGGGGACACAGATATTCTATTAGATTGGCATATCGAGATGGTTGCTCAGACAAACCGGTTGCAAAACATTTTTTTGAACTAAAGCATCCATTGGCTACATTGAAATTTATGGCCATTGACCATATCCCTGTCCCTAGAAGAGGGGGTGATAGGGGGAGAATGCTACTCAATAAAGAAGCTTATTGGATTCATGAGCTAGATACTGTGTCACCAAAAGGATTAAATGAAGCCTTGTCTTTACATTCTTTTTTGGCCTGAATGCCCCTTAATGTTCTTTTAATGTGTGATTTTATATTTATGTGTATTCTATGTTTCTCTATATGCATTTCTTATGATGACTTTGCTACCGTCCTCTTATTATATAATTGATTACATACTAGTAAGCATCAATAGCTATTTTTTTGGAAATTTGACTAATATACTTTGATGCAGAATACAATAGTGTAATACTTATTTTGTAATACTTCTTTAATTGGAACTCAACTGCAGAATTTTCTGATTGCAGCAACAATAAGTTTCACCTCCTTTTATACTGATATGAAACAATGGTTACTGTATCTTTAAATACACATGCAGGGAAATAGGCAGTGCTAGTTTCCAACTTAATTATGAGAATTTTATTAATGAAGCTGGACAGGCTTGCAATTAGAATAAGTTGATTATTGCAGGAAGAATTAGCCTTAGTAGCAATCCCTTATGAATAAGAGGAATAGCTTGACAAAGTGACACTTTAGTGAGCTTTAGATACTGTGTAACATAAATAATAGGAATTGGCTTGTTTGGCAAAAGTTTTACTTAACTTAAAGGCAGTTCTGGCACTGGAAGGGTTAATTCACCCAATGGAGGAGAAATTAGAAGTCCGTTTTAACAAGCCAAGAACTAGGAGTGGAGAGTGTGGAAGTCCGTTTTAACAAGCCGAGGTCTGGGAGTGGAGAAGGTAGAATTCAGTGTTACAATCCGAGGTCTAGGAGTGGAGAAGGTAGAAATCCATTTTACAAGCCGAGGTCGAGAAGTGGAGAAGGTAGAAATCCGTTTTACTAGCCGAGGTCTAGAAGTGGAGCAGGTAGGATCAAAGTAGAGCAGCTGATCTCTCTGCAGCACCTGTGCGAATAATCCAGCCCTTTGAATCTGGCGCGGTCTTCCTAAGTATCGTGGAGGGACCGCGTCAGAGAAAAGGGGTGGGGCTAAGCGCCGTGAACCCGGAAGTGGGAAGTGGAAGATATAGTTTATAAAATGTTGAAATGTTGCAGGGGCATTACAGAGCCCAAAAGGCATCACTAGATATTCGTAGAGACCATATCTTGTCCGGAAGGCGGTCTTCCATTCATCATCCTGTTTTATTCTAATGAGGTTATATGCGCCTCGAAGGTCGAGTTTAGTGAATATAGTTGTGGTTCTTAACCTTTCAATTAATTCATTAATTAGTGGAAGAGGATAACGATTTTTAATTGTTATTTTATTTAAGGCTCTGTAATCTATAATAGGACGGATGGTTTGGTCTTTATTCCTCACGAAGAAAATACTAGAAGCAGCTGGGGAGGTCGAGGGTCTGATGAACCCTTTGCGTAGATTTTCATTAAGATATTCTTTTAAAATTTCTAACTCCTTTTCAGAGAGTGGATAAATATGGCCAAAAGGAATAGGAGCTCCGGGTATGAGATCTATTGGACAATCATATACCCGATGAGGTGGAAGTGTTTCCGCTTCTTTTTTACAAAAGACATCTGCAAAATCGGAGTAGAATGGAGGTATAACTGATTCTTTAGTAGTTTGGAGAATAGGAATATGTTGTAAACACGTTTGTTTACAAAAATCAGAAGCAAAGGAAATGGAAAAGGGAGACCACTTAATTAGAGGATCATGGGTTTTTAACCAATTAATTCCTAAAATGACGGGATAAAGTGGAGATTTAATAACATCAAATGTAAGGAATTCGGAATGTACATTGTTGGTAATCATTCTTAGAGGAATTGTCTCATCTTTTATGGGTCCTGAAGATATAAATGAACCATCAATAACTCTGATTGGAACAAAGTTAGTTTTTTGAACACAAGGAATTTTATACTTTGTAACAAAAGAAAAATCAAGGAAAGTTCCATTAGCACCAGAATCAATAATGGCCTCAGTCACGATTCTTTTTGTATCCCACTGTAATATGAGAGATATAGAAAAATAAGTAGATGTTTTTCTTTTTTGAAGAACGTTCAATATAGAAGTAGATGAATGAAGCTTACCATCTTTTGAATGTTTCAGTAGAGGACATTCGGAAATTAGATGTTCTTTCGAAGCACAATACATACATAAGTTTAGTTGTCTCCTTCTTATTCTTTCTTCAGAAGTAAGAGGACTTTTTATTATACCTACTTCCATAGGTTCAGTTTGAGGAGGAATTTTTTCAGGTAGTTTTGGAGTAGTGAAAGGTTTTCTCCAGGTAGAATTAGTAAGAATCCTTTAAGCTTTTCTTTCTCTTAGACGTCTATCAATACTGATGGACAGTTGAATCAATGCATTTAAGGTAGGAGGAAGTTCTGTACAAGAGAGTTCATCTTTCACAGCTTCAGATAATCCGAGACGGAATTGATTGCGTAGAGTGATGTCATTCCATTGGGTTTCTGTAGCCCATCTTTTGAATTCTGCAATATAATCTTCAACAGGTCTATTCTTTTGGTGTAATGTTCTGATGGTTAAATCAGCAGTAGTTTGTTTAAAAGGATCTTCATATAATAAAGACATAGCTTCAAAGAACTCATCCAATGAATCTAATATGGGATCATCATTTTCCAAAAATGAATGGGCCCAGGCCATAGGTTCACCTCTTAAAAAAGAGATCACTGAACAGACTTTGGATCTTTCGGTGGGATAAGATCTAGGTTTTAAAGCTATTAGTAGTTTGCAAGAATTCAAAAACTCTCTGTACTTTGTTCTATCTCCATAAAATTTTTCTGGATTACAGACAGCAGGATCACCAGCCGATTGAAGAGCGGCATGAGGAAGATGGCCTTGCATGTCTCTAACATAGGTTAATATTCTCTCATTTGTAATTTGCAGTTCCTGTAACCCCTGAGCAATCGTATCCACTCTATTGGTTAGGGCAGAAACTTGAGAGTTGATATCTGCTGGTTCCATTGAATAGGCTGGATTATTCTGTAATACTTATTTTGTAATACTTCTTTAATTGGAACTCAACTGCAGAATTTTCTGATTGCAGCAACAATAAGTTTCACCTCCTTTTATACTGAAATGAAACAATGGTTACTGTATCTTTAAATACACATGCAGGGAAATAGGCAGTGCTAGTTTCCAACTTAATTATGAGAATTTTATTAATGAAGCTGGACAGGCTTGCAATTAGAATAAGTTGATTATTGCAGGAAGAATTAGCCTTAGTAGCAATCCCTTATGAATAAGAGGAATAGCTTGACAAAGTGACACTTTAGTGAGCTTTAGATACTGTGTAACATAAATAATAGGAATTGGCTTGTTTGGCAAAAGTTTTACTTAACTTAAAGGCAGTTCTGGCACTGGAAGGGTTAATTCACCCAATGGAGGAGAAATTAGAAGTCCGTTTTAACAAGCCGAGAACTAGGAGTGGAGAGTGTGGAAGTCCGTTTTAACAAGCCGAGGTCTGGGAGTGGAGAAGGTAGAATTCAGTGTTACAATCCGAGGTCTAGGAATGGAGAAGGTAGAAATCCGTTTTACAAGCCGAGGTCTAGAAGTGGAGCAGGTAGGATCAAAGTAGAGCAGCTGATCTCTCTGCAGCACCTGTGCGAATAATCCAGCCCTTTGTATCTGGCGCGGTCTTCCTAAGTATCGTGGAGGGACCGCGTCAGAGAAAAGGGGCGGGGCTAAGCACCGTGAACCCGGAAGTGGGTTCCGACGGCGAAATACATGCCATGCTATACCTGACAAATAGTGACATTAAAATAATTTTTTGAAGATATATATTTGTAGAGTGACAGAGGAGCAAAAAGAAAAAAAGTTAAGAAAAAAAGCTATGAATAATTTTTTGGTTGATCAGTTTATTATCATATGTATCTAGTCATTGGGGTTACTTGAATATTTATATAAATTGTATTGGGTCACATTATATTTACACTAGCACTGTGGCACTTTAAATTTTGCACGTGTATAGCACTTTAAGTGATGATTTGATCTTGCACCAGCACTTAATATGACCTATTAGCACTTTATTAAAATATATATAGTTCACATTTATACTTGTCCTACGCCAGTATCTGGTTTATCAATATGTCACTTATGGTTAGATCTTTACATTTAGATCACTGTTCTGATATGTTTGCTTACATATATTTTGATCGCAATTTCTTTTGTTTATATTTAGCCGTGTTACCATAGTAACGACGGCGTTATATGCATGATGTCACGTTGGGGGGCGGAGACTTTCCGCACAAGCGCACTCTTCCGGCTTGGATGCCCGTCTTAGTACGGAGCACTTTTGCCGCGCCACTATAGTAACGGCGGCGTTGTACATCACGCTGGGGGGCGGAGTCTTTCAGCACATGCGCACACTTCCGGCTTGGACGCCGGTCCTAGCACGGCACCTGTGGTGAGTTTATTTGTAATTTATTGCATCCTATATATGGTTGAATTGTTTTGTTATACATTGTTTACATAATCCTGATGAAAGTCCTTGAATAGGACTGAAACGTCGATTTTTTTTAGGAGTACACAATAAAAGCTATGTTTTAAGAATCCGTGAGTGCAACCTTTGATTCAGCTATTTGGATATTTGGAGCCCTGGGAGTGCACCCGGTTTGGATACATGGAGTTTGAGTGCAAGGTACAGTGCTTTTTTTCTTTATATATATATATATATATATATATATATATATATATATATATATATATATATATATATATATATATATATATATATATATATATATATATATATATTGGTTTTTGCCCGCTTTGTATAAATTGTGCTTGTTGTATATATATTTTGCTACGGCATGCTTTTACTTCTAATAATATAATATAAGTTAAGTTAAGATTTGTATATATTTGCCCCAAAGTAAACCCTACAGTAAAGCAGACATGGGTTTTAAACCTATAAAATACTGTATAAGACTAAACGTATAATCTCCCTAAGAGTGCGCAGTCCAGGACTTCAATAGTCAAAAACTCAGTTCATGGCTAAATCAGACCTGTAAAGAATTTGTGGCTGAGCTTATTGGTGGTTCTCTGTGAGATAATTTGGCAGGATGGATAGTGGGATTTGGAGTAATGATCAGTCAGCCATGGCCTAGGGATAATGCTAAACCAGGTGTGCCTGTAGAACAAATTGTTAGTGCAGGTTTGCAAAAAGTGACCTATGATTTGAAAAATAAAACAGACAGTGAAGGAAGATGAAAGGAAAGGCTAATATGAATACTGCAATGTATATTGTTTTTGGTGATACAGTAATTGTTAAACACCATCCAGATCCCTATTGGTTTTCCATAGGAAGTAAATGACCCGTTATCCAGAAGGGAAAGTTAGGTATTTGAAAAGGGGGACTAAAGATGAACAGTTAGGATGTCCTAATTATCATTCTTGTTGTCTGAAGTGCTAAAATATGCATATATTAATCGCACAGACATGTCTGAAAATCTAGACAAAGTTTAATATGTCAATGGCAAAGTAGAGAAAGAGTATAAATGGCTTAACCCTGCCTTTGTTGACCCATTTTGAAAGGACTTAATCAAATATTTGGCTGAGAAACAGGTTGCCCACATGGATATAATGAAGACTAAAGCTTTAAACAAAAGAGGAGAGAATCAGTGTGTAAATATATGTCCAGACTGAAAACATGTTGGCTTCAGGAATGTTGTATGGAGTTTAGTGGTCTAGGAGGAAAATTGTTTATGCAACATTTGTTAAATAACTTATATTCTGAACATGTTTTAACAATTGTTTTAAAAATCCCAAGGAATTGATGCAAGCTATAATGGAAAATTAGGCTGCTGGTGTGTTCACTATGAAGAAAGAAAGTAATCATGATTTTGTTAACATCGCTATGCCCTTCCAGTAATCAGTAAAGAGGAAATTGAGCAGAAGGGAACAGGTAGAAGAGGTGGGAGATCATATCAGGGTCAAGCTTGTAAAACAGCTGGACTTGTGGTAGTTTTCACACAAAAAAAACATTAAACAAATCATACTTCTTCGTATTTTTATTGAATACATTGATCAAAACTCACTTTTTTTTTTTTTAAAGAAAAAAAAGTGAATCTCTTGAATAATCTGCCATCATTTTTGATTAATTAGATGATACTCAGATGTAAAAGACACATAAGTATGTTACTATCACTCTTTGTTTTTCAAGACACAAATGTGAGGCTTGTCATGCTTGATCAATAGAGATTCACGAAAGAGTTACAATAATCACAGGAGTGTTCATTCAACTACAGTTACATCAAGAAGAGTACATACTATACTAATGGCCACAAGGAGTTTGTCAATAGGAAAATAGAAAAGAAGTTTGGTGTATATGGGATGATACCAAAGAGGTGACTACACTCCAGCATGACACTTAAAATTTAAAACAAAGCTCACCTTCAAAATATATGTTTTAAAAGACACATAACACTTTATATCCTAGCGGAATAAATTTTAAAATTTCATGCGATTTTTCATTTGAGATACAATTTATTCTTTTTGACACTAGAAATATAACTTTTTAAAATACTATAATATGGTATTTGTTAACATTTAGTATTAAATTTTGGAAGAATGGACAGAGCAGAATTAACCATATAGTGAGTTTAGGTGGCTGCAGGTTAATCCTGGTTTGAGAGTGAGGTGTGTTGAAGAGGTTCCGCTATTTATGTAAGCAATTCACTGTACGTTGACCAGACGATTTTAATGAAGATACCAAAAAAGAATTAGAAGCAGATTTGATATTCATCAAGATTGCCTGACTTTGTACCTTGAGTATAGACCAATAAAGGCTGAGTTGGAAAGCAGCATTTTTAGAAATTAAAAAAAGGAATATATATGATTATCATCTAAAAAGAGTAATTTTATTTCAACACGCCTCACTCTTAAAGAAGGATAAACCTCGGAGCCCTGAATTTGTAGTCAATTCATTGTACTTTCTGAAATGGATGTGACATCTGTTGCTGTAGAACTTCGATGAAATAAAAGATGGTACCTTTCATTGTTCCTTTTCTGTCTGTGTTTATTGGTCTCTATGTCTCAAGCAGATAGTCATTTTTAACAACTCACTTTTTTTAGTATGTGGGCACTATTGCAAAGTAAATATATTTATTTTTTTACTTGCATTTTTTCAACACTGAAGTGTATGTTTGTTTATTTTATACACCAAACACTTATTTGTGACTTTTATCCATAAAATACTGTCCTGAATAAAAAAAATATTAGTTGCAAGAAATACAACATTATTATTGTCAATTATTGTTTAACAAACACCTATCAGAAATGTTCAGAATATATGTTCAAATATTCAAATATCAGAAACTATTTCTGGACTAAAATATATCCCACATCCTTGGCTATATATAGGTTCAAGATCAATAATTTTGATAGTCTATTTCCGTCAAAAAAAAAAAGAAAATATTTTATAGCTCTACAATCTACATTTAAAATATAACAGACAAAATTTTGTTACAGTTATGTCCAGCAGAGCTTTCATATTGAATACCTTTGATCTAGATGTAATTAATATATGGAGCAAAGCCATTTTTAGTTTTAATTAATTTTTCCATTGCTTTGACATATCTTGAGTAAATGACCCAACTGTAATTAAAATAACTAATCTAGATTTACCCGATTATCATAACAATACAAAAAAACACATCAAAATCTATGCTATTTTAAAAAATACAGCATAATTTTCCAGATAATTTTGAACTTATTGATTTTAAAATCAAATGTATTTATCTATGCTATATCCATTTAGTTTAAACTGTAAAAGTAGCCTGAAAACACCACAAGCACATGCACACAACACACAAACATTAAAGCTTTTGGCATCCTCTGCAGCCTTTTCGATCTTTCTTCTTTAGTAGCTCTTGATTTTATTTCTTTGGATCATACTGGATAAGTCTCATAATGTCATCATTTATCATTACACCTTGAATGAATTCCCCTTCGGCGATTTTATCTAGACATGAAGAAAGAAAGTACAAATTAATAAGATGAATTTCTCTGTTATTGTTAGTATCATGTTATATGACCGCCTGACATTAATATAAATAGTATATATTTACAGTATTAAGCAGGGCTCAAATTTTTAACTTGCTACTAGCCACTGGTAATTGAAAATTTGCCCTGGTAGGTAGACATTCACCCCTGATGAGTATGCTATGGATTCTCGAGGCTTACAGTGTTGAGTAAGTTTTAAGGCCTGACTAGTGTCATGAGACTTGACATTTTAAGTTCTGATATATAAATAAATTTACTTCACTTCATCTTTGATCTATGCTGAAAAGCACAAAGTTAGACACTGTGGATACTTGTCAAGTTAAGTATGCAATTTCTGAAAGCTCCTCTGCCTACAAATCTAATCCTGCCAACATCAACAATACCAAGCTCAATCTAACCACAGCACTCACCAAACCGGATCCAGCAGGGCAAGAGGAACCGTCCGATGCCATTTTTCCAGGCACAAAAAACAGCAAGGAGGAAGCACAGGTCTAAGGCCTACCGAGCGCTCCACAGCCTAGAGGAACACCTGGGTAACTTTGATGCAAGCAGACAGGCAGCATCAGCCTCAGCAGCAAAGGTAGGTGCTCCCAAACCAGATGGAAGGTCAGGACATAGAGGACATGTTACAAAGGCCTGCCCAACACAGACCCACGCCCGGGTAAAGCATGCCAATCAGGGACATGGGTACAGCAGCAGGCCGTGACAGACCTGAGAACTCACAACCCTCACAAATCCCTCAAGCTGAGCTGCAAGAACAGCCAGACGACTCAGCACCTACCACAAAGAGGGATCTAAAACTCTTTCTAGCAGAAATCCATAAGCTACTGGCGGTGGACTCCGCGCAATTAAAGACAGAGGTACAGGTGGTCACTGAGAGAGTGCGAGCCTCAGAGGAGGAAATACTAACAGTACAAACCCACCTAACCAATGTAAATACCTCTATACAAGCGCTCCAAGCCCAAAATCAGACACTGTCACTATGACTCGCAACCCTAGAAGACCGCCAGAGGCGCACGTATATCAAGATCACCGCGGAAGAACTGCCACACTACGTTAGAAGACTATTGACAACCATCATGTCACACACTGTGGCCAAATGCATGACCATAGACAGTGTATACCACCTCCCAAGCCCCACTCAACGCACGACAATCTTGGCACGAGACGTCATTCTCAGATGCCTTACGCTACCCGATAAGCTCCAAATTATGGCGGCAATAAAAGATAAGGCACCACTCACATTCGAGAACTCAAGCCTCACATTTTACCAGGATCTTACAAGAGCCACCCTCCAGATCCGTAAAAGCTATCGACCAGTTACAGCCCAGCTGAGAAACGCAGGACTGGCATACCGTTGGGGAGCGAATGGCTCCTTAGTAGTGACTCAAAACGGGACTGCACATACACTTCAAATATGGGAGAAGCACAGACTTTCCTGGGCACACTGGGCTTGATGCATCCAGCCACACCTTCAACCTCCAAGCAGCAGACGACCATATGGGACCCCGCTAATATCATGCCATTCACCCCGAGAGAGATGAACCCACGTCCAGAAATACCATGACTACAGGGTGCAAACCCCTGAGGACCGCCCTGTCAAACCAATTCTAATCCAGTTTGTGATTATAGTGGAGTTAATTCTGTAGATTGTATTTTAACCTTTTGCTCACATATGGCAACACCACACAATACCCACACAGCCCTGAACACGGCACAAGCAAGGGTAGAGTAGGCTGACAAGCACAAGAGCAAATACCAAATGGCGTAACACCCCTAGTCGCCCCCTAGGTAAGGGGCATACAGCATGGTAGCAAATCCCTTTACTTCACCCCCACATTAGTTGGGGCTGTTAAGACACCTCCAGTGTCTTTAGGCAAAACCGCCGTTTAGTAGACCTTCCCCGGCTGCAGTACAGTCTCCGTTCGCTTAATCTGTAATACACGAACCAAATGCAGGGGAAGCGGCAATCTCCCGAACGAGATCCGTGAACGGCTCCATACTCCCGAACGGCAATACACGAACTGCTGGTAACCGTCGAACAGCAACATTCACCAAGCGGCTTCCGTTCCATCCAGCAGTCTCTAAACATGAAGAAGAAATCCCCCCAATAACGAGACAGAAGCTCCGCATTGAGGGTCAAACAGGATCTGGCTTTACTGTGGGCTACCTGCCCGTATTTATGCAGGTCTCCCACCCTAGGGGACCAAATGGGAGACTTAAATGACAGATAGGGGGACATTTCAGACACACAGTCACAGATTTTACCAACAGTGCATTATGATTCCCTCCCCTCTGCCCTGGAGTTAATTACCAAGTAACTCAATTAACTCCAGGACAAAGCCAGTCGCCATCTTAGACATAAAATAATAAAAGACATAAAAATATATAACTACACAAAAACTGAACATTTCCCATTCGTATCACCTATCCCCAGATAGCCTGGATCTGAGTGCATATTATTAGCGAATAGCGCTCAGATCCCACACACATAGTTCAATCGCTATGGAGTCAAAGTTCTTACAGTCTTTCGGTATAAGAATGACTCCATGGGAAGGCTATCTGGGTTAAGTCTTTTCGTATGCTCCAAATCTCCCGAACGGCCGGTGTTCGCATGCTTTCGTGGAGGCAGCCAGGCGTTCCGTTGTTTCAGCGGTGTTCGGCAGAAAAAGTGTCCGTTTTTAGTTCCATAGAAATAGAGCCGAACACCGCTGGGCTTTCACTTGGTTTAAAATGGCCGCTGCCTCGTGGTCGACATACGAACGACGACCACCCTGAATTCGGTTTAATTGAGAAGTGTCTGCAGTTAACCACAACGTTCTAATTGGGATCACTACGTTAACCAGCAGCACACTCCTCTCTTGGGTGGCCGTTCGTTCGGCAGGTTTGTTCGGGAAAAAAGAGTCATTCGAATGGCTGGGCTATAGAAACCAGCCATTCATACGAACGGGAAACAAACAGATGAATGCAAGCAGACATATGGTTCTGTCACAGGGGCGTACAGGCATAAGTTACTCACGATCCGCTACCACCTCTACAACCTGAAACCAGCATGACATCTCACACTTGACATATGACAAGACACTTGTACCCTGCAACCCCAAGCATAAGCACGCACCATCACAGTACATAGGTCATAGGCACCGCACATAGGGACTACAATCAGAGCGAAATACAAGCAGAAGCTCATTAATGAGTGACATTCCTCTAGCAGTCCCCAAAAAGTGGAAGCACGTAACATATAAAATTGATGCTGTCAGAAATGTTTACCCCACAAGTTCTCAGAGTAATGTTATACTCACTGTTTTATCTGTAACTGTACTGACTTGTTTTCCTATGCTGATTACTTAATGGAATGTTGTTGAAACAAAGCATCACGAAAAATAAAGAATTTAAAAAAAAATTAATTCTGGATGGCCTTGGCTGAAAACCAAAATATCAGCTTCAAAGAAAATAAGCCAAAGAAAGAGATTCCAGAGAACACAATATCAATAAGCCAAGCTTTGTCAAGGAGTATAGACATCACAGTAGTCAGACAAGCAGAAATAGATAACCAGGAACATGCTATTGGGATCACAAGATAACCACCTCAGGGCACTGAACAGATAGAAAGCTCAAATATTCATGGGTCACGGGGCATATCCTTGATAGCCGCACTCTCAAAATTTGAGTGGGAACCAGCAATGCAGTAATGATGATGTCATTAAAGATGCAGAGCTACATCATCTGGCATCAGAAACTCTAGCAAAGGTGTCTCAGAATGTGTAACTGCTGTGTTGTTCACTTGGGGAGACAGGGGTACAAAGTGAGTGGCATAGTGAGAGAGTGTGTATCTTACAATACTAAAATTATGCCAAGACATAAGTACATAAATACATATGGATGTCATTTTGGGTGTTTTAGGTCTGTATTTTTGTCATTGCTTTTAGTTCATTGATGAGGGACAATAACTGGCTTGAGCAAGGGCAGAGCCTTGTATTAGGCAACCGCCTAAGGCCTGAAACATGGCGGGCCCGCACTGGCTAAAGTTCAAAATTCCTTTACCAGTTTTCTACACTTTTAAGTATAATGTTTAAACCCCTTAACTATATTAAAATATGTAATACCATTTTTTTTTTTATAAATATGACTTGGTGCGTTTGTTAAGAGAGGGCTCACAAAGCGTATAGTATCCTCTGCTTGAGCATCAAAGATGAGGTAAAATGTTGTTCTGTTCCTTCTATATAGTTGTGGCTCTCATTAATTGAAAGTTTGATAAAGTTTTTTCTTTCCAAAAAGCAAACTGGTAAAAAGACAGTCTGACCTTATCCATACTTTTAGCTAGAATATCTGTTCTTGCTTACGCTTTTGTTTTTTTTGTCTTTTTGCTATCAATTAATAAGGCATATAAATAGTTTAAAGTGGAACCATCACTTCCTACTCTGTTGCAATTATTACTTTTTATGTGTTGCTCCGTTTTCTATTATGTTTACATGAAAAAAAAATTAACAAATGACACTGCAATTCAGTTCAGTTCATGCACAACCAGGGAACCACGGGCACACATTGCAAATGGAAATGTGAAATATAAACATTGTTTAATTTTTTTTGTTCGCTCTATGCTTTCTCTGTGTTGACTGTCAGACACAAAAGAAAACAATATAATATAACTTACAAAATTGATTGGCAGTGATCAAAGATGTAGATGTCCAATTGTATGGTGAAGAGGTGTGCATTTGAACATTTACTTTTATTTTTCACACATCACAGTTATATATTTGTTAAATATAACGGATACATGAGCATTATATTAAAAATCCTTGGTTACAATTCCAGACCTGGTACACAATGTTAAATGTATACCTAGGATTGCTAAGCAAAGTTGGAGGAAGTTCTGGGCCATATCTGACTTCTTGTGCAATAAACTCCTACTGCACACCTATGGCTCAGAACTTTACTGTACCAAAGCAATATTCTTTAATTAATCACCACCTTCTCTAATAATCCAACATGTCTCTTCTGATCATTCAACACTACTTCATTCTGTTGCTTCCTCCCCCCCCCCCAACAACCTTATAGCATTTGACTTTTACATTCTACTGAAAAGATTGCTAAAAGGATGAAAGAAATATCAAAAGGCACCCACTATTCTGTCACATTGCATCTTTGTCAGTCTTTGCCCTCAGCTCTTGCACTATCCCTTACTATCCTCAATCTTTCTCTAATGTTATCCTTAAACAAGCTACTGTCACTTTCATCTTAAAAATGCCTTCACTTGATGCAAATTCTCAATTCAACTAACGCTTCATCTTCCTACTATCTTTTTCCTTTGACCTTCTCAAAATATCTTGTATATATTGGACTGACCAATTTCCTTTTGTCCAGCTTCCTACTTGAACTTCTCCAATCTGGTTTCCAGCTGAAATACTGTATTAAAACTGGTCTAAGCAAGATGATGACAAATGATTCGATCACTGCTAAATTCATACTTCACCAGTCTGTCATTCTTTAGACTGGCTCCCTATACATCCAAGAATTATAGAATTATTTCAGAATATTCCTTAGCTATAATCACTTTATAGCAGTGCCCCTACCTACATATCCACTCAAATAAATAGGTATATCCACCATGCCAATGATTTACACCTCCCCTAAATTTGGACCCACACTACCAATTCCCTTTTTTCAAAGCTTTTCTAGGGCTTCACCATTTCACCAAAAAATCATTGCTCTATCTATTAAATTTTCTCTGCATTTTCTAGACATTTAGGAAAGCCTTAAAATCCTCCAAAGGAAAATATCAACTAACCAATTAACATCTCCCCTCGCCAAATGATCCCATTTGTCTTTGTCTTTGTTAAAGGACCACTATAGTGCCAGGAAAACATACTCGTTTTCCTGGCACTATAGTGCCCTGAGGGTGCCCCCACCCTCAGGGACACCCTCCCGCCCAGCTCTGGAAGGGGGAAAGGGGTAAAGCTTACCTTTTTCCAGCGCTTACCTTTTTCCAGCGCTGATTTTCACAGTGAGAAGCACGCAAGCGCCTCTAGCAGCTGTCAATGAGACAGCCGCTAGAGGAAATAGGGGAAGGCTTAACCCATTCATAAACATAGCAGTTTCTCTGAAACTGCTATGTTTATGAAAAAATGGGTTAACCCTAGATGGACCTGGCACCCAGACCACTTCATTAAGCTGAAGTGGTCAGGGTGCCTAGAGTGGTCCTTTAATTTGTCTTTGATAACTCTCTGATGTTGTCATATGCTGTTTACAGACTATGCTATCAAAACACATGAAATCCATTTCTACTCTGAACAAATTTTATTAAAGACACAGAGGCTCCTATTATGCAAATCTCTTTCTTTATTACTCTCAGCAGCAAAGACAAAGATGAATAAATAACTGAAATGAACAAAAAAACAGTACAGTACACAAGCAACATATCACCTAACACAGGAAATGACTATAACAGACTTGTGACAACCACAATCTCCCTCTTTCTTTGCTGCTCTCAGACCAGTTAAGTACTACTTTATTGTGCTCTGTTGGGATTCCGTTTATTGTAATGCTTTAGAGTGTTATTTTTCTCCTATTTGGTTGCTTGCACTGTTATTGTGATTATGCACGGACTTTCTGACTGTTTCTTCAGTACTATACTGCCGTGATGTGCTCCCTCTCCCACTCGAGCGGCTTCCCTGCCGCCCACCCTCTCCTTCCCCCCGTGGGTCGTGGGTGGCCCCCTAGTGGGTGGCATCACCCGACTCTGATCGGGATCACACTTGCGAGCTGCTACTTAGCCTGGCGGCAGCCCCTGCCTGTGCACAGATCGGGCTGCGTGGCTCCTGCACGCGTGCCTTTTCCCCTTCTGCATGCCGCCTTTTGATCTCCCCACCTTGTGCGGCAGCCATTTCCCTCCCTTCCCGACCGCTTTTTCTGGCGGAAACCCTCAACCCTCGCACCTGGGTACCCCTGGGTCCCCCTGGGCACACCACCTGCCAGGTACTATTTGCTGGTTTAATGTGTATATATATATATATATATATATATATATATATATATATATATATATATATATATATATATCCATTTTTCGTTAGTACATGTTACTTCTGCTGCGTGTTTTCTCTATGGGTTATTAAACCCTATTCCCTTTTCTTTCTGTATTCCTATCTAGTGATTTTTTCTTTTATTAAGGCTATTTTAAAATTTATATTTATTTTCCTAGAGTTCAACCTTTAGTGAATATTCTGTTAAAGTTTTTATATAAACGGTGAATACATCCCTTAATAATTATAATGTATACCAGCATGCACATATTGATCCATATATGGAGTATACCTTGTGCCAAGTAATTAAATGTAAAGAAATTAATAATCATCACATAACACCGAACTTGTATACATATATGTTCTGCAATGCACAGAACGGACACAACATAATTTTGGTATCTATTTACTAACACAAGGGATTATTCCACAGTATGCAGGCTAAGGGTGATGGGCCTGAGGGCCAGCTTATGATTTCCCTCAGTGATTGCAAGAGAAGCATGTGACTTCTGAGAAATTCTAGCATCATTTGACTCCATATGGCGTCTTCCCTCCAAAAGTGCTCTTGCCTCTGCGATGGGAGCGATGTCATCATCTTTCTCTCAGACGCTGGCATGGGCCCTCTTATTGCCTCCCGACGGCTTTCCCTACCCTACTGGGTACAGGGTTTTTACCCTCTACCCCTGCCTCGCCTATGGCCCTTAAGGCTACGGCGAAGGTCAAACACCTCACCTCCCACTCCTCGATGCAGGTGTCACCTGCCCTGATAGACTCGCTTGAGGCGGTCACGCATGGCGCGCTATCACCGCGCAAGAGAGCCCCTGGCCGGACAAAAATGGTCAGATTGTGGAAACGGGCTAAATCCCATGCAGTAAGGTCGAATACAGACCGGAGTGAGGAGAATGACTCAGAGAAGGTAGATTATGCCTCCTACGATGAAGCCGGCATGAAGGGGATAGCTCCCACTGCCGTACTGACCCGTACTGGGGTTACTGCTCCCATTCAGGGTGCTGCCGTTCAGAGGGCGAATGAGGGCGCTTTGCTTCTGGATTCTCAGGGTAACCCCCCTGTTCGTCCTGCATGACCTGCGTCATCTCCGCTCTACTGAGTGGGGACTCCCTGGGCATATCGACCGATACATTGCGAATAGGATGCGCACTCCCTCTCTAAGGATGGATGCAGTAAGCTGCGAGCTGACTGCCCTAGGCCCTCGTTGCCGGGCTCGGCATGTAAAACCCTGGAAGCTGACCCGCAAATTGCCTAGTTCCTTACAAGTCGTGCTGGAAGCCGAAATAGGGCTTGAATTTTCATTGGAAAACTGCCAGGACAAATTATGGGCACGCTGGGGCCTTTGTCCAAGTTTAAGAATTGCTGGATTCTGCTAAGACAGGCGAATCGGAACTTGATTTGGACGTAGCAATTGGCTGGGTCCAATGGGCTATCTGTCTGCTAGGCAACACAATTATGGCCATTCCGGCCGAGCACCACAAGGCGATGCTCCTTAAGATTGATACCAAACTGGCTAGTATGGCCATGTCAGAATCGGGTCCCTCAGCTGTAGGGATGTTGTTCGGGGACAATTTTATCAGAGACCTGGGGTCATATGTTAAGATTTTTAATGCCATAGACAAGTTCAGACGAACACAAAAGGGTTTTTCTTTTTTCTCCCCGAAGGTTTTTTTCGCGAAAGGGCCGGGCGCAGCAGGAGCCGCCCACCCAGCCGGGGATTCAGGGACTCGTCTCGAGCTCATCGGAGCTCCTTTTCTCGCGGCTCCCAAGAGTCCAAACTGCTCCGTCCTTCCCGTCCAGAGGGAGACCTACTCTAGAGGTGCCGCGTCAGGCAGACCTTGCGGTGCGTATCCACAATTTTTTTCCCCTTATGCTCAAGAGCGGGGGGTGGGCAGAGTGACACGACTTTACAACAGATGCTTGGGTCTCCAAGCGTTACAGGGTTGCCGTTTAGAACTTGTACCCATGCCTGTCCAGTATTTTGCCCCCAGGGAAGTGTGACTGTCTCAGGAACAGGAATTATTAATCTCCGCGGAGATCAAGGTACTATTAGACAAGGGAGCGATCCAAAAGTTGCCGTTCATCTATCATGGGTTTTACGGGCAACCTCTTCTTGGCACCAAAGAAAGAAGGCGGAGTGCGCCCCGTTGTCATACTCTGGCCTCTTAATGTTTTCCTATGGTACCAACATCCCAGAGGGAGGGCATCCATTGCCTTCATGACCTCCTCCAGGTGCCGAACTGGATGGTCAAACTGGACTTGAAGGACGCCTATTTCATGGTTCCTATAACCGCAGGGATTTTCTCCAATTTATTTGGAGAAGGAAGCGGTAGAGGCTTACATACCTCCCGTTCGGCTTCTTGGTGTTTCACCAAAGTTGGGAAACCAGTGGTGTCATTCCTCCAAACCCGAGGTGTTCGTCTGATTATATTTTTAGACAACATCCTGCTCGTGGCCCTATCTAGGGACCAACTAAGCTTTCATATCAGCTCGATGACTGCGTTATTCCAAAACTTGAGTTGTTCCTGTTCAATTGGGAAAAGTCGTTGCTGACCTCCGCTCACTCGGTGGGATGCTTGGTTTTTTCATAGTGGACTCTGCCAGTCAGCTACTGTTCTTACCAGAAGCCAAGATGAAAGCCATCTAGAAGGAGATCAGGCGAACACTGCGAGCAGACAACCTGTCTACCCGACATGTAGCAAGAATAATCGGCCTGCTCGCAGCCTCGATCCAGGCAATATTTCCAGGATCGCTTCACGATCAGGCCCTCCAACGGCTCAAGGATTCGTACCTACGTTCGGGTCATTCCTACGAGACAAGGTTGAGGTTGGCCGATGAGTTCAGAGACAAGCTAACTCGGTGGCTGGCTCACATGGAATGACAAAGCCATCTTCGGATCAATCCCAGATGTGGTGTTTGACTCGGACGCCAGCTTACACAACTGGGGTGCGCGTTGTGGCGCTGCTCCCACCAGAGACAGATGGTCGGAATTAGTGAAGACATTGCACATCTATTGTCTGGAACTGTTAGCAAGGGTTTTGCAATTCGCAACCTTACCCAGTCAAATGGACTGCTGCATGATGCTCAGAATGGACAATGTGTCCGCGGTGCGTTACATCAACCACCTGGGGGGCACGAAGTCGCGCATGTTGACACTCCTGACAAAGGATTTCTGGCATTTTTGTTTCCACAACAACGTCTCTGTGAAGGCGGAACATATTCCGGGCCTGTACAACTCCACGGCCGATTGGAACTTACGTTATTGGTGAGACTTCGGAGACTGGCACTTACACGCTTCGGCGTTCATAGAATTGGAACAGTTGTGGGGCCAATTCGAAGTGAACCTCTTCTCATCTCATCACCCAGTTGTCGAGGTTCTACAGTTGGAGACCGGATCCAGCTGCGGTGGTGACGGGCGCATTCCTTCAGGAGTGGCCAATGGCTTGAATATATGCCTTTCCCCCGGTCCACCTGACAGCTCGTACGCTCTCTAAGTTGACTCAACATGAGTATACGATGGTGTTGATCATTCCCCTGTGGCGCTCATGACTGTGGTTGCTGGGGTTGGCAATAGATTACCCACAATTGCGCCTGACTCTTCCGAATCTACTGGTGGATCCGGACGGAAACTTGTGCGAGTTGGTGGCATCTAATGGCGTGGCTCCTTTTCAGGGGACCTTGGACTATCTCTGGAGTTCCGCAGTCAACTCTCAATCTCCTCGACAATGCATGGACACCAGACACTCGATCAGCATACCGGTTCGCCTAGCGAATTTGGTCCAGTTGAAGTGTGGAACAGACTGGGGATCCCGTATCTGCCCCGTGGCATATGATCCTGGAATTCTTACCTTCCAGGACGTATATGTAGAGTTCTACAGTTTTTCTGTCGTCATGGTATCCGAATCTAGATTTGACGCTGAAACAACTGTCAGCTAAGGTGATTATGTTATTTTGCTTGATTTCATGCTAACGGGTGTTGGATATCAGAACGCTCGACTGGAATGCCGTTACGTTTACCTCAGGGGGCATCTCCTTTTACATCTCCAGAAGGATGAAGTCGGCTTTGAAGGTTCTATTGGCTGGAATTGACACGTTTATCTTCACTCCCCATTCGGTCCGCGGAACTATAGCTTCTAGAACCTCAATGCTTGGCTGTCGCTTGGAAGAATCGATTTTCGTGATTGCTATTTCGGGCCGATTGATCATTTTGCATCTCAGATGGTTTTTTAAGCTTTGAACTTGCATAATAGGAACCTCTGTGTCTTTAATAAAATTCCCAGATTTTACTATTAACATGACGTAAAGTCATGATTTTATTAAAGACACAGAGGCGAGTATTATTCCCACCCACCCAGTCGTGGAAGGGTGCTGGTGTCAGTGTGGTTATGGATCGGTAAGTATTCTCCTTGGAGATTTCGTATGTTTTACTTGTCTGACATTTTATGTATTGGTGAATTGCTTGCTACAGTTATGTCTATTAGAATATTCCACGGTGGTAAAGAGACCAGTTATATTTGGATTTATTGCTTATATGTTATTATACGCATGCCGTTTGGAGTCCAGAAGTTACCATATTTTTCTTTTCTGTCTCCTTTTTTAGCCTGAATCTCTCGGGTTTTCCATGTTGGTGATGCTGTTGGCTACGTTAGCTGAAGTTTGATTCTACATACTGGTCTTCGTTCTCAGTAAGAAAGAGGGGGATTGTGGTTGTCACAAGCCTATTATAGTCACTTCCTGTGTTAAGTGATTGGTTGCTTGTGTACTGTACTGTTTTTTGTTCATTTCAGTTATTTATTCATCTCTGTCTTTGCTGCTGAGAGTAATAAAGAAAGAGATATGCATAATACTCGCCTCCGTGTCTTTAATAAAATCATGACTTTACGTCATGTTAATAGTGAAATCTGGGAATTGTACTCTACGTGTATCTAATGTGCAAATTGTACTCTACCTGTATCACATTCCTTTAGATTGTAAACTCATTTGAGCAGGGTTCACACTACTTCCTATTCATTTAAGTCAAACATGTGAGTTGAACTTGTTTAGATGTATCATGCTTTCTTTATCTTTAAAATACTTGATTTAGGAGTTGCTAATCATACTGAGTTACTGAAAGGGATACTGTGGGCATTTTACAACCTATTGAAGTTGTTATAGTGCATGCAGTCCTACCCCAGTCCTACCTGCCAAAGCTCAATATTAAAACTAATTAGAAGGCTTGGGTGTGTGGCTTCAACCCATGTCTTCTAGCCCTGTGGATATGAGAGTTGGTAATTTTACTTTCTGACACTCATACCATAACATCACACATGCATGCGCATGTGCCATCATGGTCAGCGATAGAGAATAATTGAATACTCTATGAGTAGTATTGGATTGGCCCATCATGACGCAGCTGACGGAGGAGGTTACGGCAGTGCCGAGGGTGACTTGGCTCTGGAGTAAAGATGAGTAATTTTTTCATTTTCATTTATTTCGATATTCATTTTGTACAGTTGGGGGAGGGGAGGCGGAAGAGATCAGGAGTGTAGCATTAGGAATACAGATATTTATTTCTAATCCTATATTGTTCACTTGAGGAACTATACTTGAATCTTAAAAAAAACAAAAAACTAATATGTGAATTCACCAGCAATAACAAAAACATTTACAAATATAACCACCCTCTACACCCCATGTGGTAGAGATTCTCAACTCTGTTTCTTTCCTTTTCCTCTTTAGAATTTTTCTCTCTGGCTTTGAGATATTTCTTATCTGTGTAAATTAGACTTTTTTATAATCTGTAAAGTTTGGACTTGGGTCTGACCGTGGTTTCTGTGTTACTTAGGTGTCATTGATTTCTGACACTTTAACTTTAATGATTGAGAGATCATTATTATTTTTTTGTATAGACATAAAACACCAATAAAATATTAATTCCAAAATATATACACATAATAATATGAATAATGCACCATGTAGCATAGTATGAGGTGCAAAATAATCTGTCTAGAAGATGCTAACTTTAAAATGTTACCATTATCTTTCTTTTTGAAATAAGCCCATAACTTGTCTGCTCTTTTCTGTGGAGTGTTTTCATCATCTGGTAGATTCTTCTGTTCTTCTGGTGGTATCATTTTAAAAATTGCCTGCAATAAACCAGAAAAATATTTATGAAGTTGTGGCATTTTACATTACTACATGAATTGCTTATTTTTTTAACCCTATCCTCCAAATTTAACTACATACAAGCTATGTGTAGTCTAATAAATTAAACTCCACCTTAAACTTCATTGTTCGTCTGCACTATGTGTAGAAATAAAACTCAGAAATCCTGCATCCACACACTAAAATGAAGAGGATAAGAGGGCACTGGGCACAATGCAGGGTTTATGTGATGCTCTAGATTGTATATCTGTGCTTAGTACATGTAAATATGTCAGCAAGTTACTTACAATACATATACCCATAAGCAAGGTATTTCTATTTCAATGCTTATTGTAATTACACTGTTACTGTTACACTACTAAAATACAAGTTTAATGTATTCTCTAGCACGCAAAGCTGTATTTTATATGCCTATTTTTGTGTATTTATAAAATAATAATATTAAAGGGACACTATAGTCACCAGAACAACTACAGCTTAATGGTGAGTATAATAGCTACCTTCAGGCATTTTCATGTAAACACTGCTTTTTCAGAGAAAAGGCAGTGTTAACATTGCCCCTAGGGACACCTACAAGTGGCCACTCCTTATATGGCCACGGGAGGGGCCTCCTGGCTCAGGGCTGCACAGTAAGCAGCCCTGCTGTTCAGTGTCCCCACGCTCTGCATGGAAATGCTGAATTTTCCTCATAGAGATGCATTGATTCAATGCATCTCTATGAGGAGGTCCTGATTGGCCAAAATGGTATTTGGCCCCACCCACATGCCAATTTTAGCCAATACAATGCTTTCCCTAAGGGAAAGCATTGGACTGGCGAAAAATCTGCCATTTTGATGATGTCGGAGCCAGGGCCAGCTGACCTGCGCGCGCTAGAAATAAGGTAAGTTTTAAACTTTTATAGGTGGGCTAAGTGGGGGCAAGCCACCTAAATGGGTGTAGCACTATAGGGTCAGGAATACATATTTGTGTTCCTGACCCTATAGTGATCCTTTAAATAAAGTGTTTTAAATTAAAAAAAATTCCAACATTCACCTTGCCACCTCTGCTCGAACTCAATCATTCTGACATAATTTATAGTTACTTCTTTTAATTACTTTATCTGCACACAACTCCATTTTTGCACAGCAAAAGCACAGGAAAGATTTATGAGAGTCTATAAGTATAAAGTCCCGTGGAATTTTAGGTCTGATATGTCTCATCTGCAGTGGCAGATCCAGGGGGGGGGCAACCGGGCAATTGCCCCCCCCCGAGAAATCCGCCGGTCTCCCTCTCCCCTGCCAGCACATGCAGGTGCTAGCCCTGCAATGTGCCTGCAGACCGGGGAGGGAGATCAGAGCTCTCCCTCCCCGGTCCGCAGGCACATTGCTGACAGCCGGCAGGGGAGGGAGAGGGAGTGAGGACCCGGAGTTACCACGGCAACGCTCCAAATCTCGCGAGAGTGAACTATAGCCTGGGAGCGCGGGCTAGACTTCACTCTCCCCACTGGGACCACCAGGGAATCCCCACTGGGACCACCAGGGAACGAAATATGTCCCCCTCCTCCTCAATAAAGGTAAGAAGGGAGGGGGGACATAGAATATTTATTTTAATTAAATAAAAAATAAATACATATATTATAAAAACAAAAAAGCCCCCCCTACCCTTATCACACACTCTATACACATACACCCCCATACACACACTCCCCCCCATACACACACACACACACAAACTGCCCCCCATACACACACATACTGCCCCCCATACACACACACACATACTGCCC